CCTTCCCTCCTGCCCTCCTTCCTTCCTTCCTTCCTTCCTTCCTTCCTTCCTTCTTTCCTTCCTTCCTTCCTTCCTTCATTTGGAAGTGCATTAAACGGCTGGAAATACACCAGAATAGAAACTGCATTAGTTCAGCTAGTCTGAACAATTAGAGACCCTTGAAGTGGCTACAGTGCATCAAAGAAGCTGCTCAGTAATTTTTGATTAGGTCTGAGTGCTCACACTTCCTGACAGTGCTGTGAACCAGTGTTAATTTCGTTGACGAATAATTTTTGTCATAATTTTCGTCAACAGCATTTTTTCACCATAGACAACGAGACCATAACGAACTAAAACTCTTTTTAAATTACAAAAACTATGACGCAAATCTATTGACATTTTCGTCAATGAATAAAAACGAGACTAAAATGTTAGGGAGGGACTATTTTGGAAGAGATTCATTCAGAATGAATCTGCTGCGTGGTTCGGAGGTAGGACATAAGCTGCCTCATCACATCATGACCCTGTGAGGAACATGCTAATGGAGACCCGTTGTTGTTGTTGTTGTTGTTTTGGCCGTAAGCAGCAGACATTTCAAAGAGCTAAGATTTTGTTATAAGGCTACCAGTTAACATTTTAATTAATGTAATTTTTCCCAAAATCCCTCCTTTGGGTATTTCCAATGTGTTGCAGTGGTTTCTTATCCACACTAACTGCATGTTCATATCTGATACACAACGTGTACCGATGCTGTGTGTGTTTGTATGACAAGAATTAAATGGAGTGCATTTAAGAATAAGTGTATATAATACATATAAGAAGGTGGTGGCAAAACACTTTCAGCTGTCATTCATTCATTCATTCATTCCTTCCTTCCTTCCTTCCTTCCTTCCTTCTTTCCTTCTTTCCTTCCTTCCTTCCTTCATTTGGAAGTGCATTAAACGGCTGGAAATACACCAGAATAGAAACTGCATTAGTTCAGCTAGTCTGAACAATTAGAGACCCTTGAAGTGGCTACAGTGCATCAAAGAAGCTGCTCAGTAGTTTTTGATTAGGTCTGAGTGCTCACACTTCCTGACAGTGCTGTGAACCAGTGTTAATTTCGTTGACGAATAATTTTTGTCATAATTTTCGTCAACAGCATTTTTTCACCATCGACAACGAGACCATAACGAACTAAAACTCTTTTTAAATTACAAAAACTATGACGCAAATCTATTGACATTTTCGTCAATGAATAAAAACGAGACTAAAATGTTAGGGAGGGACTATTTTGGAAGAGATTCATTCAGAATGAATCTGCTGCGTGGTTCGGAGGTAGGACATAAGCTAACATACACTTGCTGCACGTCGCATAAAATGTCAAAAAATGTCAATATGTGGGAGTAAGAGAAGAGCAGACATATAGATAAATCTGACGACGCAAGAGAGAACTCTATTCAGTCCAGTTTTCTGAGCGCAGACACTGAAGCATACACACACAGAAAGCGTGTCTCACAGTGCGCGAGTACTCTTTCGCGTCACATGAATGGAGAATTACTCACAAAATTATGTTGAATTGTCTGTTTTGACGGGTATTCACGTAAACACTGTTGATTACGTCTTAAGTGAACGTAAACAGTAGGGAGGACGTGTATCAGTACATTGCATCCATTGCAACTGTGCATTCAGTTTTAAAGGGATAGCAGCCTAATTTAGTTGCTATTGTCCGAGTCATTGATGTTAATCAAGCAACAAAAGAAAGACAGAAAATCACAAACTGCTCTTGACTGAAAAACTTTAGTAGCCCTAAAGATTAAACTAACTTTATTTATAGAAATAAATATGTCTGCTTAAAAGAATGAAGAATATGGTAAACAAGTTACTATAAAGAATGCATAATTAGCCTATATAACATTGGTATTTCATCAAAAAGAAGACCATGTTCTTGTTCTTTGAGAAGTGGTTTTATTTAATTTTAACATAAAGGCATGTTGTGTGTCACCACAGTTAAATCGGTGTCTATCATGATAAAACCTTAATATCAAACCTACACTCTTAAAAATTAAGGTGCTTCACGATGCCATAGAATAACCTTTTTGTCTAAATGGTTCCATAAAGAACCTTTAACATCTGAAGAACCTTTCTGTTTCACAAAAGAAACAGAATGAAGTGGTCATTAAACTCGATTTTATCTTTATTTGTTTAAAATAAACAAATCATTTTTTAGTTACGCATGTAACCATGGTTCCCTAACAGGGAAGTAGACACTGCGTCCTCTAGAGATTGCTATGGGGAACACTATCAGCATGACCCGGTGTCCGAAGCACATGTCTAAACACAACAATAAAATTGGGTGGCAACACCCTATGATGTCACTATCGATGTGACCATAGTATAAAAGGGCACCGGAGGATCACACCATCCACTTCTTTATCCGAAGAACACAAAGCAGGCATCCCAGAGGCATGTCGAGGGGACGCAGTGTCTCATTCCCTCTCAGGGAAAAGCAGAGTACTCGGCATAACTGCCCTCTAGAGCAGGGGTGTCAAACTCAATTCCTCAGTTTTGTTCCAACCCTGCTCCAACACACATACCATGTAGTTTTCAAATAAGCCTGAAGGACTTGATTAGTTGGATCAAGTGTGTTTAATTAGGGTTGAATCTAAACTCTGCTGGGATCCGGCCCTCCTGGAATTGAGTTTCTCACCCCTGCTCTTTAGAGTGAGAGGAGCACTGCGAAGCTCAACCTAAAGGGCAGCTTATAAAGGAGGCTCACATAGAGCCTGACAACTCCAACCAGTTGCAGCAAAGAGCTCCAGGGAGTGGAGTACGCAGTATAACGACTCACACAGTATAGCAAAGTATAACAAATGAGAGGAGTAATACAATTATCAACCTAACTGCAGAAAGTAATCTCAAATAATCACTATAATGGCCCTCATTCTCACCACCTTAGGGAACGGCATACTTTGGATAACAAACCTCCAAGGAGGGAAGTACTGTCAGGCTCGACCTTAAGGGTGGCTTATTAGGGAGGCCCACCGAGAGCCTAACAACCTAGTAATACCACCAAACTGAGCTATAGGGAGCGGGATACTCAGCATAACGACTCTTCAAATGAGAGGAGTACTAACACACTTGACCTTCTGCAGAACAGAGCTCTGGGGAGCAAGTTCTCAACATAACGACACTCTAGAATGAGGGGAGTACTATCATGCTCACCTTTGGGAGAGGCGTACTCAGTATAACAACTCTTTAATTGAGGTGAGTACTGCCACACTCAACCTTTACAGCAGCTCATCAGGGAGGCTAACAAGAGCCTAATCAACCTGACATAACTGCACCATGGAGCCCAAGGGAGTGGAGTACTCTCTAAACTCTTTCCCAATGAAGCTTTCCCAAGGAAGCTCACAGAGAGACTAAACAACTTGAAACTGCTATCCAGGCAGAGCTCTAAGGTGTGGAGGCCTCACTAGAAAAAATATATAGCGAGTGGAAGCCTAACAATACAACCAACCATGTAAAGGCAGCTAGCCAAGGAGGCTCACAGAGAGCCTAGCAACTTGGCACCACTTCCTGACAGAGCGAGGACTTGCTCCTCCGGTGCCATTTTATACTATGGTCGCACCAGTAGTGATGTCATAAGCTGTTGCCGGCAAATGTTATTGTCATCTTTAGACATGTGTTTCAGACACTGGTCACGCTGATGACGTTCCCCCATATCAACCTCTAGAGCAGTGTTTCCCAACCGGGGTGCCATGTAAAAATATAATTTTTTAATATTTTTAAATTGCTAAAATGTTCAAAAAAAGCATCTATTATATAATTAATTTCTATATAATAAATTTCTGATGTCGCCAATAATTAGTAATGCACCGAAATTCCGGCTGCCGAAAATTAGTTCACTGAAAATGTTTCACACTTTCACGTGGTGTGACACTCTGCGTATTATCCCGCTCTATGTGTGTGCGCTCCGCTCAGTCGCTCCACTCGTATACCGTTCATGCTCATTGGAACAGCAAAGTCCACTCGAAAAACAAGCCGACATTAAACATCGATGTAGTACAGTATTGTTTCGGTCTGCAATAGCCCTACTGTGCTGTATGTAACATGATGTGTGGCAACTCTGGTAATGCTACCCTCTCATTCATTGATCTGCTAACCGCTATGTTATGCTCGCGTGTTCTGATAATAATAGCTTTCTAGGACTAAACATTATTTGGATAATTGGTAAAAAAAAATGAAATCTCTTAATAGCCCTACTGTTAGACCTGAAAAACTAAAAAGCAATTTATTTCATTTGTAGGCCTGTCATTATTTTTTATTTGTGCTATCATTATTAATTTCTTTATTTGTGTGAAATGACTGTTTACTTGTCATTTTTTTATTCAATTCAAAGTTTGAAATCAAGCTATCTCATGCTACTGCAACAAAATTACCCAACTGTAAAATCAAAAATAAAC